CAAGAGTGGAGTTTCTGTCTCCCCCAGTCCTGTGGAATTCCTGCGATCAAACCCCGCTGGCCTTCAAATCCAGATTCTCTGGGGGCTCCTCCTCCAGACCCCCAGGCTGGGGAGCCAGATGTGGGCCTCAGACCTTTCACTCCTGTGCGAGAACTTCTGTGGTATAATTGTTTTTCACTTTGTGGGTTGCCCACCTGGTGTGTATGGGATTTGATTTTATCACAGTTGTGCCCCTCCTACAGTCTCATTGTGGCTTCTTCTTTGTCTTTGGATGTAGGGTGTCTTTTTTGGTAGATTCCAGCATTTATTTGTTAGTGGTTGTTCAGCAGTTAGTTGTGATTTTGGTTTTCCCATAAGAAGGGGTGAGCTCATGTCCTTCTACTCCACCATCTTCAAACCCAAAGCTTTTAGAATCTTACTGAAGTTGGTTTATAGGCACCAAACCAGTTTTCCAGGATTAAAAATGTTAATGCTTTAGGTACATATGTATAAAAGCTTTAGTGCTTCCAGTGTGTGAGACAGAGAAGGTCTAAACACTGAAAAGTTTTTTAACTTTAGAGGTATTATGGGGCTAATATTTTCAAAGAAAGAAATTAAAGTAATTGATAATTTGCAGCCTTCTAAAACAAACCTAGGAGAGAAAACAGCATTCACTCAGCACAGGCTAATTCCTTTCTGCATCCTTTTCTGCCAGCACAGACGTGGGATTTGTTTGTGGGCCTTGGAATGTGCATTTGGGGGAGGTGAGAGAGGGTGAATGCTCCCTAGACATCTGGCCAGAGCTCCTGGTTGAGAAGCAGGTGCAACCCTCCAGTCATGACAACTTCCTAATCAGGGCACAGCCCTGATAAAGCAACATTAGAAGTGAATGCTCACATTTTGGTGATTCAGCCCCTTTTGTTTGGCTGGATTCCTGTACTAAGAAAACATTCTCAATTCCAATTTCAACATTTTAATCCACCAATGTGGTTTTGGGTTTGTGGTTTCCCATTCTTTTCACTGCTCTTAGAATTTCATGAAAATAGCTTATGGCATGATGTTGCAAACTAATTCCCACAACTGGATAATGACAAAATTACAGCTCATTCATACTACTGATTTCAAAAGTCCAACTGTTACATTAATACTTAAAAAAATTTTTTTTATTAGAGTATAGTTGATTTACAATGTTATGTTAGTTTCAGGTGTACAGCAAAGTGCATCAGTTACTATATCTCGTACATATTACATATATACCTATATCTCCTTTTAAGATTCTTTTCCCATATAGGTCATTACAGAGTATTGAGTTCCCTGTGCTATACAGTAGGTTCTTATTAGTTATCTATTTTATATTTAGTAGTGTGTATATATCAATCCCAATTTCTCTCCCCCCCCCTCCCTTTCCCCCCTGGTAACCATTAGTTTGTTTCCTACATCTGTGACTCTATTTCTGTTTTGTAAATAAGTTCATTTGTACCATTTTTTAAGACCATTAATTTAAAAATTACTTTTATAACTAGCAGGAGAAATATTTTAACTAGCAAAAAAGAACAAAATTTAAAGGTTGACCTTGACCTTTGTGTAGTGGTATCTCAAAGAAAACACTGTACTTTCAGCAAAAATGGAATATGTACAAAGAGCTGTCAAACAGTAACCCCTTCTAACATATCACTTAGGCACCTTTTTTGGTAAAATATATATAACCTGATGTTACAATTTTAACCATTTTTAAAAGTTCAATTCAGTAGCATTAAGTACATGCACAATGTTGTGTAACCATCACCACTATCTATTTCTAGAACTTTTTCATCATCACAAACAGAAACTCTGAACCCATTAAATGGTAACTCCCCAACCCCTCCCAAGCCCCCCACCATAGAAGTTACTTGAGGTATTGGGAGACCTGAATATGCACTCTCTTGAAGAAGCAGGCTGTGAAAACCACCAATTTGGTCTAGTGCTTCATGTCCACGACTATAGGACCCTAACCACGAAGGGAAATCCTGTCGCTTATCACTGGGCTGGCCTCCCCACTGTACCATAAATCTTCAAGGGACAGGGCAGTGCCTTTCTCATCTTCTTGTCCCAGGGCAAATGTATGCTGAGAGAAGCATTGAAAACAAACCAAAAGAACAAAAACCAGATTAGTTCTGAGTGCAGGTGCCTGTAAGAAATGGTCTCCTTGAGCAGTGGCTCTTGACACTTCAACCCCATCCTGCTGGCAGCCTGGACTCCTGAAGTAGGAAGCACAACCTTCAGAAGTCATCTGTTGACGGACACTTAGGTTGCTTCCATGTCCTGGCTACTGTAAATAGAACTGCAATGAACATTGTGGTACATGACTCTTTCTTTTTGAATTATGGTTTTCTCAGGGTATATGCCCAGTAGTGGGATTGCTGGGTCACATGGTAGTTCTATTTTTAGTTTCTTAAGGAACCTCCATACTGTTCTCCATCGTGGCAGTATCAGTTTACATTCCCACCAACAGTGCAGGAGGGTTCCCTTTTCTCCACACCCTCTCCAGCATTTATTGTTTCTAGATTTTTTGATGATGGCCATCCTGACTGGTGTGAGATGATATCTCATTGTTGTTCTGATTTGCATTTCTCTAATGATGTTGAGCATTCTTTCATGTGTTTGTTGGCAATCTGTATATCTTCTTTGGAGAAATGTCTATTTAGGTCTTCTGCCCATTTTTGGATTGGGTTGTTTGTTTTTTTGATGTTGAGCTGCATGAGCTGCTTGTAAATTTTGGAGATTAATCCTTTGTCAGTTGCTTCATTTGCAAATATTTTCTCCCCTTCTGAGGGTTCCCTTTTGGTCTTGTTTATGGTGTCCTTTGCTGTGCAAAATCTTTTAAGTTTCATTAGGATATGGGGAGGGAGAAGGGTAAGCTGTGACAAAGTGAGAGAGTGGCAACAGACATATATACACTACCAAAGGTAAAATAGATAGCTAGTGGGAAGCTGCCGCATAGCACAGGGAGATCACCTCAGTGCTTTGTGACCACCTAGAGGGGTGGCATAGGGAGGGAGACTCAAGAGGGAAGAGATATGGGAACATATGTATAGCTGATTCACTTTGTTATAAAGCAGAAACTAACACACCATTGTAAAGCAATTATACTCCAATAGATGTTAAACAAACAAACAAACCCAGATTTCTCTTTTCTCTTTACTTAAATGTTGCAATCTGGTTTTAGTTCCAGTCTTTTGTTCCCCATGGGTGATTTTAATGTGGACCTCTGAGGACGCACCTAACCAGCAGATGCACAAACTTTTCTTACGTCTAACTCATCTCCTCCTACCTTCTGTGCTAAGAATTGGCCCTGTGAATGAGTCAAATCCAACAACGCAAAATACTTAAAGAATTTTAGAGGATGTTTTAAGGCATAGTGGCTTCTACTAAGGAATTTGTGCTTTTCCTGTTTTACTGAATTTCATTGAGGGGGTAATTGTCTATTAAAAGTACTAAGTAAACTGAGGAACCATGGTGATAAATTTTTAAATCTTAACCTTTTAAAACCATTAAGCCAGTAACATAGGAATATTAGGTGATCCTATTTTTCCTGTGTTTTATTTATAATGTGAATGCAGCTTATTATTCCTCTCCCCCTTTTTCTTCAAAAATCGTTTTAGTAGGAATAATTGGCTGAAGGGACTAGAAATATATAAAAAAAGGAAAACAGGTAAGAACAGAACTGAAATTTGAAAGTAGATCAACGCTTAAAGCTGTGGAAAGGAGTGCACAATCATTGGTATGCAGAACAGATAAAAATGCCCAACACTTTTGCGTGATCGGCAGTGGAGGGAAGCAGGGCACAGAATTGGGAGGAATACGTGGGATATCGGTAAAGTTCTACTTCTGAAGTGCAGTGGCAGGTTCATAGTTATTTCACTTTTTATTCATGCTTGATAACCTTTGAACCTTCCATAGTCTTCTGTATGTACCACACACAGTTGACTAAAAAACGTCAGTACCTGGAAGTTTCACCCCAATAGGTATATTAATCAAACTGCTATGCTACCTGGTAACTTTTGGAAAATTCACACTCTCTCCCTAACATGGAAATGGTAAAGGACACAGGCATTGTGCTCAGCTAGACCTGGTTTTGATTCCAGCTCCCCTGCTTCGCAGTCTCCCTGAATGTCTCCTCATGCACAAGTGGAAGTGGATTACCTACTCCCTGAACTTCATATATTGCACTCAAATACTTATCATCATTATTATCAGTGTGTCAGAAGTTTTAAAATGGGAACTTTCAGTCTCTGGCTTCATCTTAAACTTGAGGAACAATGCTTTTTTGGCAGGATGATAGTATTTAAAAAGAGCAAGTTTCCTGTGGCATGCACTGAGCTTTCTGTATCCTAACAGCTGTACTGCTCGTGAGAAGTTAATGATGTATTTCTCACTGAAACAATATGAATCAGAGCTCATATTATTTTTTTAAAAAGGATTATGATATGTATGATGCTATAGATACAGTGAGTTGTGCCCGCCCCCCCCCCCCAAATTCATACATGGAAGTCCTAATCCATAGTACCACAGAATACATACTTGGAAAAAGGGTCTTTAAAGAAATAATTGGGTTAATGAGGGCATTAGGATGGGCCTTAATCCAATATGACTGGTGTCCTCCTAAGAGGAGGAAATTTGCACAAAGACGTATACAGAGGAAAGACCATGCAAAGACACAGGGAACGGACGTTCATCTAGAAGCCAAGGAGGGAGGCCTCAGAAGAATCCAACGTGGCTGACACCCTGATCTTGGACTTCTGGGCTCTGGAACTGTGAGAAATTAATTTCCTGTTGTTTAAGCTACCCAGTCTGTGTACTTTGTTATGGCAGCCCTAGCAAACAAACACATGTGAAATGTGGGAAATTTGGTTAAAATGCTAACAAGTTTTTGCTAAGTGACTCCACAACCGTTTTCAGTATTCTTGGCTGAAGCTTGAATTACAATGATCAAGAGCTGGGGATAAATGAACTTTCCTCTTTATAAGTGCTTAGCTGCTTACCTTTTCTTGGTGTGTCCATTTGGCTTCTCATCAGGAGGCAGTTCAATAATGAGCTGACAGGACTGAGCATGATCAAAGTTGTTTGGAGTCTTTGGGGAGCTCTGGGTGTCCAACATAAACACCTGCACACGTATACAAAGGTACAGGTCAGAGCGCCACCATCCTCACCCTGCCTCCGCCAGGGATCAGCTGAATGGCTTTCGGCAAGTGACTCACTCTACTCATTTTTTCACCTTTAAAATGAGGTTGGTAATGATTTCCTAGTGGTATGTTTGTTGAGAGAATTAAATGAATTAATATGTGTGTACTGACATATGCCAAGCATTAGAACAGAAGAGTAAATACGCAATAAAAGTTAGCTGCTGGCACGAACAGTAATGACACTACTGCTTCTGCCACGTGACAAGTCATTACACTCCAAACAGCAAGGACCGACATTTAATGTTAGCTAAGAGTAAATAAAAAGGGGCTATGTTTGTAAGAGGTCTTCTCTGCTTTAGACGTCTGTTTGGTACATATTCTAAACCGTGCAGGAACAGGAAACTAATTGGGGCTTCTCCCGTCAGGGCTGCTGCTGTGGCCATGCTGCTCTATTAACAGACAATGGGAGAAGTGACTTAGAAAACAGTAGCCACTTCTCGGATCCTGATCCAAATGATTTCACTTGACATTTAACATACCTTCACCACTTCCCTTTGGAAACTTGAGTATTCTTACGGAATTGTTTCTTTCCAAACCTTGTTAAATTATCAGATTTATGTGAAGAGTAAATATGGGAGAAGGTTTGGGACTGAAAAAGAAGCAATTATGAAGAAATGAAAGATTCACTAACTGTTTGTTGCTGTTCTCCATTAACTATTTCAGAACAGGATTCCATTTTCATATTCTTGCTGTGGGTGGAAAGACTGCTGGACGCACATGGGGAAATTCCTCATCTAGTCCGCTGTGAAGGCTTTCTACTTAGAGAGGCCACCCCTTCAGAGGAGGACCACCCTCTTGCCTTCTCTGTTATGGTTCCTGGCCAGAACCCGTGTCCGGGATGTTAGGAATGTGCTCAGCAGATGTGAGTAGTTGAAGATGGGAGGTTCTTGGCCCACCCTCTGAGGAGAGCTGGGGAAAGTGCTTCAGAAGCCAGACCTGGCAGGAAACTTCTCAACTAATATGGTGAACGTGACTGAGTTTGTTGACAGGGCATCCTGGGTTATCAGTGTGCTAAGGGGAAATTCTATTAAGGACTTCTGTAATTTAGTGATTCATTGACTCAAGAAATATTTAATAAGTGCCTTCCATCTGCCCTGCTCTAGGACGACCAGTATACAGAATATGTTCTCTGCTCCTGACGCATCAGCTTACAACCAACGTTTGTGACTTCTGCCATGTGTCAGAAGAAAAAGTCATTGGTACATGGTGATTCCTGCACGGATAAGTACATCTTAATTTTACTAGTTAGTTAACAGTTAACATTCAACTCAAATTTATTAAACAACTTGTAAATGTTAAGCTCTTTGCTGTGTATGGGAGGTACAGGAAAAAAAATAAGTTTACCATTTTTAGACACTCATAGTCTAGCATTAACAATAGTATTTCAGTAACTATTTATAACATAAGTAGTGCAAGTCAAGTTATGTATGGAGTGCAGCGGCCGGGTGGAAAAGGACCCTATTTGATCAGGGTACTGGAGGATGCAACAAGCTAGAAATGGCCAGAGGACCATGACGCTGTTGACTAGGTTCAAGTGATTTCTAGAAAAGAACAGCATTGGCCGGAGCTCAGAGCCAGGACACATATGTCCCTAAAGGAAAGAAAGGCAGTGTGGTGACGCACGGCCTTCAGAAACGACACCTAGCAATATCTCAAGCTTCCAGAGCCCCTGGGATCAAAAACCCCACCCTTACCTGCTGAGCCATGGCTCGGATGCGCCAGTACTCGGCCTCAGCACTGGGGGAGGAGGATGGAGCCGCCACCCTCACCTGGCAGCCTTCCCCGCTGAAGCTCTCGGTGCCGCTGTGGAAGCAGCCCAGCAGATCCTGGGGAGAAACACAGCAGTCGTTCGCTGGGTGCACCTGAGTTCATGGCTCCAGGCCCTGTCTTTGATCTGCCACTGTCACTGTGTCTGGGACAAAGTACTGATCCAGCTACCTTGTTCCCACCAAGTGAGACTGCCTGCTACATGGAGGGAGGCGGAATCCAGGCGACCCAACTTGAGGACCACCAGGGAGCTGAGAAAGGCTGGAGGTGCCCTGGTCTCTCCTCTGACTTACCTTCACCGGCTTGAGCGTGGCCGAGAAGGCGTCCTGCAGGGCACAGCAAGCCAGCCTCCACATCTCCTCCATGAACACGGGGCCCGCTGTCACGAGGACATACCTGCCAGGAGAAAAAAGGAAAGAAGTCTTGAATTCATATATTTTATTGTCACAAAAGGTAGGTAGGTCCTTCCAGACGCGTGCCTAGATTTAGCCTATAGTTCCCTTACAAGTCTTGCTGTCTTTTATCACTCTTGCCTTCGGCCCATCTGGTAGGCCACTGTCCTAATACTATTTCCTAACCCATTTAATGTAAAAAAAAAAAAAAAAAAAAAAAAAAAAAAAAAA